CTTACCAGCATACTCAAGTGCTAAATATCCAAACGTTCTGGCCAAATTTTTTAGTATGTGGATTACGCAATTGATTGACTGTTTCTTCAAATTTTTCTTATCTTTTAGGTGTTGATGTCCAATAAGCTACACTCTCTTGAATTTTCTCTACACCTACTTGTATGACATCTAGTCCATCTTTGAGAATCAAATTCAAAATATGCGCACAACAACGCATATAAAACAAAGTCCCACCCAACAAAAGCGATGTATTACTCAACTTATCCATCAACGGTAATCACGGCATCATTTATGGAACAATTATCAATAGTAACAGTAAAGATTTTTCTATCAATATTTTAGTCCATCATACACTCAAGCAAAGTATCACAAAGAACTTCTTTTGTGTGTGAACATGAAACATAAATAAACCTAAAATATAATATTCATGAACAATTATTAATAACATGCAAATCGAACTGAATAAGATAGAACTTTTAAATGATTTACAAATTGACAAATATATAACGCAAAATGCGACTTTGCAATGTCCATGAATCATCAAGAAAGTGTGCTATGACAGCCATGAATCCTTTCTTTTGATTACTAGCAGTCCACATATCAGTTGTGATTGCCACCCTACTTTTATTATTTTTCACCAAACTCAATGTCTTCACCCTCTCATAATCATAAATATTTAAAATATTACTCTTTATCGCATTTCGAAAAGGTACTTTAAACAATGGTTGAAGTGCTGCTAAATATCATTTAAAACCAACATGATCTATGATAGAGAGGGGATATTCATGTAATATTATGGCATGTGACAACTCTTTCTTAGCAAAATCTTGATAAAAAATATAAGAATTCATTTTTAGACTCTTTCTATTAAAGTTGTTAGTTAAAACTTTTTGCCTTACGTCCATCACTTTTTTCCTAATACAACTCTTATAGTGATCATGCAAATGCCTAGTTTTATATTTTTTGAATCACCTCTAAGATGCTTATTACAATAATTACATATTGTCTTCCATACCTCACTGACTTGTTGTTTCTTAAAGTGTTCACACATAACACTAGGTTTTCTTTTAGTTCATCCTCAAGTATTAGACTCTTCTTCTAAATCAAAACATTTTAATTATAAAGGAGAGACGGTGAGTTCGTAGGTGAGTTGGTAGCTGACGATGATTGTTGTGAGGCCTCGCCCTCAAATGGCACTTGAGAGTTAACTAGTACTTTAGAGTTAACATTTGACATTTTTAATCTTTATAAAAATAATATGGATTGAATTAATGTTAACAGAGGCAGCAATATCATCCTAGTAATGTTAACAAACAAACGAATAAAAAAATAGATTGAATTAATTATATAATAAACAATTCAGCATTACAATGTGTACACTAATTAGAGGCTTTTTCAAACCAAATCTACTTAATTAATTATTCATTATTCACTAATCTTTCATAACAACTCTCCACATCAAATTAAGGTTGTCTTCAACAAGCAATAACAGATCATACATATCAATGACAGATCAATAATTAAAAAAAAAAAAAAAAAACATGATTTGTATGAAAACAAAATGTAGACAAGAGTGTCTCGCAATCTTAAAAAACAAAAAATAAATCAAAATTTTAACAAGAAGCTTATATATATAATAAATAAATTTAGAGAAAAAAAAAACAGAGGTTGAAGAAAATATATATACACTAAGATATATATATATATATATACATATACATATATGTAAACCCTAGATCCAAATCCCTAGAGAGAGAGAGATACCTAAATAGAGAGCAGCGGCGGTGAGGGAGAGAGAGCAGCAGCCCCGTCGTGTGTGTGTGAGAGAGAGAGAGAGAGAGAGAAGGGGAAGCGAAACGGTAAACGGCAAAGGCGGTAAGGGAGGATCGGTGGTGACGGAGGATCGCCAGTGAGAGAGGTGCGGCAGTAAGAGAGAGGGGGAGACCAAACCAGTGGCGAGCGAAAGAGAGAGAGGAGCGGAGCAGAGCAGCGCCGTGCGTGAGTGAGTGTGAGAGGCTGAGTGCGTGTGTCAAACCCTAAACAAACACAAGCATATATATACCCAGGGGCAAAACGGTAATTTTACCTCGGGAACTAAACGGGGCGAGGCCAAGGCTTAAACATCTATCCCTGTCCCCAGCCCGGATATCATCGGGGATGAACTTTTAAATACCATCCCCGGCCCGTCGAGGATATTTTTCGGTGAATAACCACTAAATTCGGGGTCGGGGGGTCGGGTCGGGTTCAGATTGCCATCCCTATCTATGTATTAGGGGTGGGCGCGGATCAGTTGCAGCCACGAAACCTCCAATCCGCCATCCGTCCGCCAGATTGGCGGATTAAAGAAAATCAATCCGCATCCGTCCACCAATCCGGCGGATGCGGATTGACGGATTGGCGGATGGATACGAATCGGTTTGACGGTTTAAAAATTTACAAATTTTCAACATAAAATTGTACACTTTCTCAAAAACACAACCTGAACATAATTCAATTGTGCATTGCACTTCCTAAAATACTGCCAAAACATAGGTAAGCAAAAGATAGTGCAAGTGCACAATTCATATATTTGATATACTGCCAATCTGCCAGACCAAAAACAAATAATTCAATTCACATTGGTTTTTAATTCACATTCAATTTAAAAACAAATAATTCAATTTATAAAACTAAATCAATTCCACAGAAGTTCCGAAATCAATCAATTTATAAAATTAAATCAGTTCCTAAATCAATCAATTTATTTGAAGTTCCTAAATCAATTTATAAACACAAATTTTTTATGGAAGCACTGTAAAACTAAACCAATCAGTTTATAAAACTAAATCAGTTCCGAAATCAATCAATTCATAAAACTAAATCAGTTCCTAAATCAATCAATTTATTTTTAGTTCCTAAATCAATTTATAAACACAAATTTTTTATGGAAGCACTGTAAAACTAAATCAATGAATTTATAAAACTAAATCAGTTCCTAAATCAATCAATTTATTTTCAGTTCCTAAATCAATTTATAAACACAAATTTTGTATGGAAGCACTGTAAAACTAAATCAATCCATTTTTAAAACTAAATCAGTTCCAAAACAGTTCCGAAATCAATCAATTTATAAAACTAAATCAGTTTCTAAATCAATCAATTTATAAACACAACTTCCTAATCAGTTCCGAAGTAGTTTCTCAATAAAACTAAAAATGAACACAACACATACAACAAACGAAATTGAACCCAAAATTCAAGAGGCGGAAATGTTGAATAAGAGGTAGAAAACAACACATACAGAGAGTGTGACATAACAGAGAACAGGAGAAGACAATAAGAGGAAAGAAGAAGAGAAAAACAGAAGAAGAGAAGAGAAGAAGAGGAAAGAAGAAAATCAGAGCATACCGTCAGGGTAGAACAGGAGCAGAGACGAGCAGATCGTAGGAGAATATCGTTCGGTGTAGATCGATAGCCAATCGCCGTTCAGTGTAGTAGATCGTCGGTCGACTGTTTAGTGTAGACCGCTAGACGAGGACGACGATGGGTAGGGTTTTGGGGGTAGAGAGAGAGAGAGAGAGAGCGTAGAGAGAGACGAGAGAAAGGGTGTGTGTGTCTGTGTCTGAAATGAGGAACTAGGTTTAGGGTAAACTAAAGAAAAGGGCTGGCTGAGGCGAAAAAACACACGCACAAAAAAGGGAGGTCATGATCGGGTCGGGTTTGCTTGGGGGAGGGGTATACTGGTGAATCACTCACTACCCAACCCGAGCCCGAAAAATCAAGAATCCTGAACCCGCACCCGTCCGCTGCATACCTCTATCCCCGTCCCTGACCCAGATATCATCGGGGATGAACTTTTGAATATCATCCCCGGCCCGTCGGGGATATTTTTCGATGAATAACCACTGAATTTGGGGTGGGGGGTCGGGTTCAAATTGCCATCCCTATCTATGTATGTTTATTCGCCCGGAGTGGTTCAATCCGGCGGTCTAATATGTTTTTTTTCTTGGGTTACGTGGTAAGAGATCCGATCCAACTTACGTCCATCTCAATTAATTCTTTTTCCGAATTCATGTTGGGATTAGAAAATTCATAAAAAATTATTTTCACATAGTTTGGTCCAAAGAGTTATTAAATTCCAAGTAATTATGTGGATGGTATACTTACCAATTTGGTTAGTCCCTGCAATCTAATTTTTATTAAAGCTAAAATATCTGAGAAAAATATATATATTAAATTTTTTTTGAAAATCTTAGATTTTAATTAAAAAGTAATTACAAGTTATCAAATAATTTATTTTTTTTTACTTTTATGCACATTTTTCTTAAAAATTAAAAAAACATTACTAGAAAATCAATTCCCAAACACCTCCAATGTAATAGTAACACCACATAACTTCAAATCAAGATTGCTAGAGTTGTGGGATGGCAGGCCCCTAAACTTCTTAAAATTAGTTAATTAATCTTGCATTTATAAATTATTTTATATTACACATAGAATGACTTCCTAAATTTTTAAAAATTTCTCTATTAATAACTCCTATATGCATAAGTATTCTTGCAATGCATATAAGATGGCTCTAAACTGTTTGTCACGGTTACATTACAACAAAAATGAAAGTGTAAATTAAAATTGTTCAAATTGAAATTACAAAAACTAAAATAAAAAAAGACATGTCATTTACCCATTATTTTTTATTATTAAATTATCATAATTCTACACCTATTTAATCATTATTTCTTCTATTAAATTGAAGTGCTCCCATTATTGTTATAGTGATAACATTGCATGATTTTTTCATTTTACATTTATATCAGTAGCAATGACAATATGTGAGTAATAGTATGGGTCAAGGACCCTACTCCACTCCCCCCCGGGGGTCTATTTAACTTTACAAGTTGACATTTTTAGCATTAAATTCCAATAATTTGGTTTTATATGTAGCCCAATTGAGTAGAGAGAGAACGAAAATGAAAAATAGAAATATATATAAAAAAAATAAAAAAGATTACATCCTTAACTGCAAGTTCTAACAAATATTTGAGAGAGAGAGAGATCTGAAAATGTTTACAGGCATTGAAATGCATTGCACAAGGGAAAGAAAAAAGAGGGGATTTACACACAGGTATAAAGATTACATACAAGAAAGGATTTACCAACTAAAAACACTTAACATGCAAACACCAAGACCTAAGACGTAAATCTTGATGGATCAAAAGGATTTTGGGTTTTCGAGACTCCATTTTCATGTGAATTACAAGGAAGCGACTCATAAAAAAATAAATACATAAAACAGAGAAAATGATGGTTCTGATTACTTTCGACTTGCTTATGTATTTTTCGTAGGCAAGAAATAATGAGCAATACTAGACCCACGTTTGCCAATATTAGCTACCCGCTTCTGAGGTTGGAGCCACACTTGCAACTCTTCCTGGATTTCAGGTGGTAACTCATTAACCACAGTAGGGTCAATCTCATCAATCTTGTAATCCCACGCATCCCTTCTCATATCATCTCGATCTAAAATTGACATGCCACTATGTGTTCCCATCTGTGTAAGCAGGTTCTCTATGCGTAGCTTAGCTTCAATCAGTTCAGAACTGCCAATTACTGATTGAAAGCCTGCACCAAAATCAAACATGAGAGAGAGAGTTGGCATGAATTTGGATTTAAAGGTAGATCTAAGAATTACTTGAGGATGAAGATGCTTTAGTTTCATCAATAGTTCTAACATGCTCTTGCTTGGGGGAAGAGGAAGAGTTGTGGCAACTCTGAAAAAATCTCAAGATTGTAGGTGATCCCTGCCACAAGGGGCAGTTTAGAAAATGAATCATAGGTAACAAGGATAAGTCACAAATTGTCGTTGAGGCTTTTTTCTTTTCTTTTTTTCATTTGTGAACAGATAAATACAGATCTTAATAGAAGAAAACAAATAAAACTGTGAAACAAAAAGGGAAGATTTTATTCAAACCTTGTCTTTCACCATCTTTCTTTTGTGATCATGTGGTCTCATACCATGCATTAAATTCTTGATCCCAATTTCCTCTTTACGGAATTCTCTGTGTGGCTCAACTAGATTTAGTGCCAAACAGCTTTCAGTCCCTGTGAGGTGGGTTTTAAAAAATGAACATGCCAAACAGCTGCATTTATTTTTTCAGTTTAAACAGAACTGACAGGAATCGTTTAATCCAACATATTTAATTCAAATTAGTCTAAGTTATTTAAACAATTTGAAGAGATAGGATTTACGAGGAAACCCAAACCCAGGAAAAAACCACAGACGCAAACAACTACTAGTAATCAATGTCGAGTACGAGTTTCACCAAAACCAGACACATAGATCCTACTTACTAAACACCAAGGGTAGTTTCATAGTCCAATATGCTTCCACGTATGTCCAATTTCACTTGTACCTTCAAGTCTCCACTAGTCACGTCAATCTAAACGAAGGCAATCAACTACATATGTCGATCAATGTACGCACCCTAAATCCATATAAATGCAGAGCTACCCAAGGAACCAATTCCAACACGCACTCACAAGTTTTAGATTCAACACAAAGATCTCCAAGACCTTTGCACACTTAAAAATCACTAAAAAACTTGAAGAAGGAATACTAGTCACGTCAATCTAAACGAAGGCAATCAACTACATATGTCGATCAATGTACGCACCCTAAATCCATATAAATGCAGAGCTACCCAAGGAACCAATTCCAACACGCACTCACAAGTTTTAGATTCAACACAAAGATCTCCAAGACCTCTGCATACTCAAAAATCACTAAAAAACTTGAAGAAGGAATATGGACTATATGAAAAGCTCTCTCAAGTTCTCCCAATGATCAATGAATACTCACTCTTTGTTACCCTAACAAATAAGTCAAGGCATGTATATATAGAAAGAAAAAAAAAATGAAAAACTAAGGGAACAAGTACTTAGAAGTTACCAAAACTCCGTTCTGCATATGGAAGGAAACGTATACAATATTGCCATACAAGTGGCATATATGTCCTAACAAAAGGCACTGCATTTAAATGAACCACCTTGTATTCGAACAGTGATCACTTTAGTATCCAGTTACATAGCATCAACTCATTCTCATTCGAACAGAAGACCTTTGTGTTGAAATGCACAAAGCTCTGCTATGATGTGCACATAACGTGACTATCCAGAAGCACAAGTCCAATAAGTCTATGGATTTTAAAAGTCAAACCAAATAACTAATCTAGCCAATAGTCCAAAACTAAACTAACTATGATCATAATCTCAATAAGAAACGGACCCAAAAGACTAACGTAGATAAAACTGACCATATGATATGCTAATGCAAATCCATGAGCTAATAATGCAAAAGGAAGATAAAACGAAAACAAAAGAAATTAATAACAAAGAAGGTAGAAAGAAAAGAATGCCCGGATCAAAGCCAAGGAGCAAGATCACTACCTGAGGATGACAATGCTGAAGTTTCTTGGATGAAAGCATCATGTGCCTGCTTGGACAAAGAACAAGATATCACCTGGTCATCAGTGGATTGCATGGTTTCACATGTGTCCTACAAAGACAAAACCATTTGCAAATAATACAATCAGATATGATGCATCAGAGCTACTGTTGAAGGTCATGCAGCTATAATGTCATGTGATCAAGTGAAACCAATTATTACTTCCACAGCTTACTGAAGGGGTATGATGATATAAATAACAAGTTACACTGCTTTCTAATAGGTTAGAGAAATGCTACGTATCATGAAAAAACTTTCGTGAAAATGATCATGAAAAATTTATGACCCTTGGATTACACTTAAACTAAAACATCACACACTAATCAAGGTAATCCAAGGGTCATAAATTTTTCATGATCAGTTTCATGAAAGTTTTTTCATGATCCCTATCTTTTCTCAATAGGTTAAGCTTCTAGAGCGGTTGGTTGTTAAAACCTTAGACTGACAGATGTAAAAGCATCGTAACTGCCTTAGCTTTCTTATAACAATATACTAGCCTATCACACGTGCTATACACGAGATAATTATATATATTTATATTTGTTTTAGATTTTTTTAATATATAAATTATGTTTTTTAAGATTTTTATAAAAATAATTTAACAATCTTATCACTAACTATAGTATATGGGAGAAGTTGAAAAGGGTACTGCAGTAACTATACACTGATTGTATCTATAATTATTTGTATGAGGGTATTTTAAATACTGATCAAGAAATTTTGACCAAATCAATAAATGCAAGCATATGGAAAGATATGTAGATTGAAAAAAGTTAATAAATGCTTAACAGGGGATATTGACCAAATCAATAAATGCTGAGTTTTTTTTTTAATAAAAAATTTAGAAAATTCAGATTGGGATATTGAAGCTCCCACAGGCCTTGGGGTTAAAAACCCCCTTTTGCTTTATATATAGTATAGACTAACCTATCACTCGTGCTATGCACGGATTGTGTTTATAATTATCTATATATGTGAATTGTGATTTTTAAATGTCTTCTTTTTTTCTTTTCTTTTTTAAATGCCTTATTTTTTTCCTTTTTTATATTATATTAAACTTTAATATTTTAATAATAATCATATGTGTTAGACTTTTCAAGGAATTAAATGTCTTTTTTTTTTAATTATATTATATTAAAGTTTAATATTTTGATAATAATCATATGTGTTGGACTTTTCAAGAAATTTTTTTTATGCTTGTTCTTAATCCATTAAAGTGTTATTATGAGGGATAATAATCATATGTGTTGAGACTTTTCAAGGAATGAATGTGTTGGATTTTAAAGATTTTTTTTTTTTATGCTTGTTCTTAATGCATTAAAGTGTTATTATGAGGGTAAGACTTAGGGGTTGGGAGAAGTTAATAAATGCTATGGTTTTTTTTTTTTTTTAAATCAAAAAATCAAGAAATTTAGATTGGGAGATTGGAGCACCCACAAGGCTTGGAGTTAAAAACCCTCTTTTGCTTAATATATAGTATAGATATAGATTGGTACCCATTAAAACAATTAATCAATAAACTAAATTTAAGCCAACATAAATGCAAACCTCTCTCGTAGATACTTCTCCCTTGTTTTCCTGTTGATCCAGACTTGGCATGGCATGCCTAATCCTTGTTTCTTCCTCACGGAATTCTATGGGCAGTTCAGTAGTATGCAACTCTGGATATCTTTCAGTTCCCGAAAGAATGTCATACTTTACCAAAATTGCAAAACTAATGGTAAAACTAAAGTAAAAAGAAACAAAAAGCAGCATATAGTATGAGAACAGTCCCGAAGGGTGACAATGGTGCAGCCTTTGCGACAAAATCTGTCATTCACTTGCCTGGACGAACAGTTGGACTGATCTTGCCCATGAAAGTATTTCATGATTGAACATGTCCCCTGTCAAAAGTATTCAAGAGCCAGTATTGAATATAATAATAAAAGAAAAAGAAATTATGTTTCAATATTTAAATGAGTGGGAAACAAGATAATTTGCAGGCACTACATGAATTGCAATATGCTCATCTCATGAAAGTTTTCGTTAGAAGAATGGTCTTAGATCGCAATATCAGTATCAGCCAGCACAACGGTTTTGAGAGTATCGACCAAATATGATTGGAGGAATATATTAAAGGACAATTTTGGAATCAATTGGATGAACTAATGCAAGAAATATCTGTTGGAGAGAAGATAATTATAGTTGGAGAGTTCAACGGTAATGTAGAAAAAGATAACTAAGGGTATCAGAGAATACATGGTGGATATAGTTTTTGGACAGCGAAATGAGGCTGGAGAAGAACACTAAATAACCTTTAAAAGTAGGTCAAATAAGAGTCAAATAGATGATTTTCTTGTAAGAAGAGCGTGTTGCTTAATATGTAAAGATTGCAAGGTTATTTCAGAGAGTTTAATGCCTCAACATAGGCTATCATTATTAGAAATATACAATAAAGGACAATATCAAACCAGGAAAGATATTAAAAACCCAAGAACTAAATAGTGAAATCTAAAAGGTGAGAAAGCATTAGTATACAAGGACAAAATATTTACCCCATCCATCAATCAAAACCAAACTGATCATCCCCAATTTTTAAATTATTGAGCCAACTGAACTAAGTCCCATACGGAATGAAACCAAACTAACCAATTTAAGTCTGCTTGGTCCAATTCTTAAGTTAAAACTGTTCAAAGTTGCATAGTCTATGTCATACCAAACTTAGCTCTACTTGTCACCAACCCAACTTCAATTCCTGTCAGTAAAAGCTCACTTAAGCAATGCTCATTGGACATCCACAAAAGTACAGAGCAAATGTGATGCAACAGTAAGAAGGTGTCAATAGTTTTATCAAGGTCTCTGAAGCTTCTTCTTTTCTTTTCTTTTTTTTGTTGATAAATAAGGTCTTTGAAGCTTCTTTAACCCAGGTTAAATAGTATGATCCTTGCAGAGTTGTTAGGTTTGGGCTTAATAACATCATAACATGTTAATGGCAAGGCAAACTCCTACTACTAAAAATTACATATCCAAACAAGTATAAATATGTTGTTCAAAAATGGACATTGCAAGATAATAAAATATGAGACAACAAAAAAATTTGAACTTACAGATGGAATAGCAACTATTTTACTGGCCGTAACAGAAAGAGAAGTTATTCCCCATCCATTGTATTGACTTCCCTGAGCCTTGATTCTGTGTGAGCCAAGGTATTCACGTAACCCCGCTTGAAATAAGTTCAGGGCATCTTCTTTGATCTTGGCAGAGCCATACCTCAATGGACATGACTTGGAAGGAAAATTTTTCTGCGACTTAGAGTCACTGGACTGCAGGATGACATAATCAACAGAACTAGGTGTTGGAGTCGAGGTATTCAAAATATTTGCAAACATTTGGATTGCCCAGAGACAGAAAGCTTATCTAAGATGTGAAAGAGAGAATCAGAAGAAAAGGTAACTACCTTGAAAGCTCTGGCATGCAAAGTGAGTGTATGTGCTACCTTCCAAGCTCTCTGGAGGAGTTTCTGCTAACATTGCTTCAGCATCATCAGTGAGATCAAGATACAATTCATCAATTGAAGCATGCTCACATCTACCCTTCCTTGCAAGAATAGAAACCACCTGCAAATTAAGCTTACTCAACCATGAGTTCCTTTTCAAAGTGAATTTCTACATATAACAATCTTAGAACTGTGAAGATCGCCTATGAATTCTTTAAACCTCTGAACCCGCATTTCGGTATATGCTCAAGTCAGCTTTACCACGAGCAACTGGGACTTGGACAAGTTGGATTTGTGGGCAAACTTGCTTCGCTTCATCACCTCACATTGAACTTAAAAAACCCACATAATAGATTTCACCAGTCCAAGAAGATCCAGTCATACATGAAGTACTTAGAAAATATAAGTAACGAATACTTACCACTTCACCCCATATTTATAGGCCTCATAGCTGACAGCAATCAAACCCCCCCCCCCCCTTTCCAGGAGTTGTACTGTACCACAGCAGTGGGCTTACCCCTTAAATGGGGCTGTTTACGTTGCTCCACTACATAGGCAAAACAAATACCAATTAGCCTGACCAAATCAAGGATTCCATATCACAACGTAAGAAAGTCCACAACGAAAATTATGTTATTCTCTCTTTTGGTGAGCCTTTGGCCATCATTATTTAAAGAAAACTGAAAACAATGAAATCGGAGCTCTGCCAGAATGGTGTTCTTGCACTCAACTGCAGTGTGACATGCAAAAAAAAATAGGGAAAACATATGATAATTGGCAAGGGTTTGCAAAATCATATTTGATTTCAGTTAATGATAAAAAAGATTGTCTCTTCATCTAAACTAAACTATATTCCATATATGATGTAACAAAACCGAAGTCAATTTCTGTTTGATATGCATTTTTAACCCACGTGTATTATTTACAATTAAAATCATGATGCAAAATTGGGTTTTATGGTTTCAAATGTTACATGCTTGTGAAATTGCTTAATTGGATTATAATGCAAGAGTTTGATAATGAATAACAGCGATCAGTTAAATAATAATTTGAAGAAATGAACAAAAATAGCATCATGAACTGCACAGCCTGCATACATGTTTTAGTTCCACAAGACTCCAAGGTAATGTTCGGTTCACTGGAATGGAATGATCATTCCATCAAAATATCCATTTCCATGCATGTTTGGTTGACCAAAAAAAAAAAATTAAAAATTACACTACAAATAGAATCATCATTTACCAATGCAACGGAATGATCATTCTATTATATTCCAATTTCCATCTCACTTTCCAGTGAACCAATAGACCATAATAGTGTCAAGAATTAAAGACAATGGTCATGTATAACATCTTTATAAAATTGCAGAATTGGGTTCTTATGGTTTTGCATGTTACATGCTTGTAAAATTGCTTAATTGGGTTATAATATGAAAAATAGTTTGATTATGAATAACAGTGATCAGGTACTTAATAATTTCAATAAATAAACAGAAAACAAAAATGAAGCAGTATGTTTGTAACCCAATAAATGTAAAAAATCAAAGGGAAAATGTTGGGTTTCGCCATTGAATT